TGGTGTCTGGGAGGTCCACGGGGCGATGGTAGTTGGCCCCGAGCAAGAAAAGCTGATTGAGGATGGCGTCCTCTAACGCCGTCACCTCCACGAGCTTGCAGAACTCCCGGGCGTACTCGTAGAAGGGGAGATCGAGGCGAGCTAGGGCGGCGACGCGAGCGGCAATTTCCATCGCCACGAGGGGGGAAAAACCAGAAAACAAAAACGTTCAAAAAGGCGGGGAAAAACAAACGCGAGGAAAAAGTCGCCGCTCACTTTCGGTTTTGGGTCCGCTGTTCTGTCACAATACACTTTAGAGGAACGAGGAGACGCTGGAGAATACTTTCACAAGACTTTAATTCCATGAACACAGGAAGACGAACACAGGAAGACGTTTAACAGCGGACAGAGAACTAGGGACTGGGAACACTTTTTATACACACAGGAGGAGGGGATGACGAGACACACCTGGGAGCAATGAAACATCAAGGGAAACAGCTGGGACAAATGAACTATACTAATCAGGACAGGAACAGGAAACCAACCAAATAAGGGCATAGGAAGGCACATGGGGAGCAAGAAACACACACAACATGGAACAGAGTCTAACATCAATAAAATCAGATGAATAGATGAACAATGAATTACAATGAATTCGGCTATTGTGCACAGAAATCCATCTGTAGTGGCACTTTCAATTCATGAAACACACACACACGCATATTTGCCTTCTGCTCTAACACTGCACTCCTCTGATGATATTGGAAATTTGGTGTGGAAGTGCTAATGGGATTAACAGAAAGATTTGACCTTCTACTTTTCTAGTTGTTGAAAATGTTGGTCAATCTATGATGTTCTGCCTGAAATTGTGACGTTTTCTCATTTAGGGTCATGGAAATGCCTGCAAAGTGTTAACACTCTGATGTGTTGTGGAATATGTGTATATAAAATGTATTTTATGATTATGACATTGACCGGTCAATTTGAACCAATATCTTTCATAATTTAAGGCAGCTGCACAGTCAGTTTTCTAAACCGTTTTTGAAAAATCACATACCCTGCCTTTAAAATAAAAACTGTATTGTAAATTGTACGTATCTTGCTATGTTAGTTTCTCAACTACCCTCTGAGGATATTTACATTTATGCATGTGGCAGCCACTTTTATCCAATAAATAAATAAATACTTTTTTATCAGTATATTTTATCAGTATATTATATACTTTAAAGTTGTCCAAATGAAGTCCTTAGCTATGCATATTACTAATCAAAAATTAAGTTTTGATATATTTACGGTAGGAATTATTTTTTGCATTAAAAAAATGGATAATTTTAACCCATACAATGTATTTTTGGCTATTGCTACAAATATACCCTTGCTACTTATGACTGCTTTTGTGCTCCAGGGTCACATATCATGTTCATAATTTTGCATATGCAGTGCATGTTAGTATTAATGCATTTTGATTCTGTTACTGTTATAATAATCTTTGTACAAAGTTGTTTCCATTTGTTGTCCAGTGTAAAATATGGATCCTGTAGCAAAACCAGTTGAAAAAATTACAGACAAAAAAAAAAAAAAAAAAACTGATTTCTAAATCAACTAAATCAAATCAGTGAAAACTCAATATATTGAAAACTCTTTGTAGTAATCTCAAAATCAACTAAAAAAGTAACGGTCACAATAATGCATCAGGAAAGCACTTTCTTATTGGTTGCCAATGGCCAAACCGTCTTCTGGAATGACATTTGTTGAAGCTGGCAGCATGATGCATCATGGGAAGTGAAGGGGATTTGATAGCGGAGAGGATTCACAGGCCTTGTGGATGGAAACACCTGCCAACAGCGTTCCCACACAGAGTCATGAATATGAAGGCCAGCGAAAGTCTGAGTCATATGGGTCTGATGTTACCGCTTAAAACACACGGACAACATGTACCCAAACTGATTTTATTGTTTAGCACTGAGAAAATATCTGAGAAAAAGACTCTCCAAATGAAGAAATGGGGGAGACGGCTAGTTTAAAATAGTAGATGATTTGTGAAGATGACTAGTTGGTTTATCTAAAACAGCACGAGTAAAAAACCCTATCGCAAGGACAGTGGAGAAAAACAAGACTCCCCACGCAAAGCTCCTTGTTTGTTTGTTTACCTCTATTTATCCAAGCAAGTCAATTAATAATTGTTTTCTTATTTACAATATAAACATCTAAATCTAAAAAAACTTCTGCTTTCATCCAAAAGGGAGTTCACTGATCAACTGCAGTGAAAACAGAAAAGGCTAATTTGCTTCTGGAAGAAGCCATAAGATCAGTGATGCACGAGAGGATCGCTCAGCAGATGAATATTAATGAGCCGCATTTCATATGAACATGGGTTACAATGTGGGATTAAATGCTATGAGACTTCTCAAAGATAATGAGCATCAGTGATCCGGACTGGTCAGATACATCTACAGACCAGCCAAATACCATTCATCAATATTAAAATGAATAATTCAGACTTCATTGTCGTAGATAATCGCGTGTTGTAATTGAGTCCTACTGATTAATCTAATGGTCTCAAACTAGCGGCCCGCAGTATAGGTTCATACAGCCTCTCGGATGTTTATTCATGCATCATTAGTCTAATAAATACACAGATGTAACTGTTCCAATAATTATACAAAGTTCAAAACATTTCTGTCTGTTGTAACTACTGTTCAACCGACCCCAAACAGCACCTGCCTAGTGCTTCTCAAGCTTCTCATATGCAGCTGTGATAAACTTGTTAAAGCTTGTGAAAGTCCTCACCACGCCAGGAAAGATCTTCTTTAATCTGTCCACCGCGGCGAGAGCTTTAGCTTTCCCTCCACTGAGACAGTCTTCAAACTCATAGAGCGGCTGTCGCACTGGGTTCGAGTAGGAGATCTTCGCGTTGTCCACAAAAGTGATGTGCCTCACACCCCAGCCCTCAAAAACAGAACAGAAAACATTCAGTCTGCCATTCGCAGTATTAAAGAAGCTGTGACCAGCTGTAATCCCATTGAAGCTGCAGTGATACTGTATGCCATATGCATTACAATCACACAAACACACCACCGTTACAGATTTGTGTGCTTTAGCGACAAAGGTTTTTGTCAAAAAATAGGTTTTTAGACAAAAAAATGCACTAATCAATCTTTTTTTAAAATTAAACACAGGGGGTCATTAATGATGCTTACATTATAACATGTGCAAATTCACACACAACGTATCTTTAATTTGGCCAGAATTGCAGGTGTTTGTCTTAATATACAAGAAGTTTTAGAGAAAATATTAAATAAGTTGTTAATAAATGTTATTGCAGATTATAAAGTGTTTTATAATTAAATGCATCCGAAAGGTCATCTAAAATTGACATTATTATTGCCATATTATTGCCTCCCCCCCCTTCATTTTCAAGTGACACCACTATTATTTTGAGATGGAAGCATCTGCGACTTGCTTTCCATAATTACAGTGTTTGGCTTACGACTACTTCAAAAACCATTAAGAAGCGATTATGCCAAAGGCAAGTAAGCACTTGAATGACATAAAGCAAGCCAAGAAATCCATACTGAAGGCAAGGAAGGCTTTTTTGACACCTGTCAGATGCGATAAACAGTCGATAATCAAATGTAAATCAAAAGCAGATGGTTCTTACCATCAGTGTTCTTGCCACATTGCAGCCCAGGGTCCCAGCTCCCAGCAACAGACACCTTGTCGACACGACCTTATCCAGATCCAGAGACGGGACCAGCCTCCAACGCATCAGCTTCAGGTTGAGATCGACAGAAGACTCGGCAAGCCTTGAGGAAATGAATTAAATGTGTCACATACCACTGAGAAAACCATGTCAGAGTGTGTAAACTGACGCCAGATGTTCAGTACCTTTTAGGGTCCATGCATTCACTGAGATTGACACTTCGAGGTCCCATCGCTCCTTTAGCGTTCTTCTCCCAACCCACACTCTTTGGACATACTGCATAAACAAATTAGTACACATAAACATAATGCAACAGCCTACAGTTAAACCGACTTTTTGTTGTTTTTTTTTTTTTTTTTGCGACATCAGGTTTCGAAAACAATAGCTGAACGTTTAAGCAACAGATCAACTTCTAAACATTCCAGTTTGTTACACTCTGTCTAGTAGGACTGTCTCATTTGTGTCGATGAACACATGACTTCCAAGAACAATTCACCCAGTCCATCAGTTAACATCTGGAGAAGACAAAAGCTGAAACAAATCCAGCATTAAGACGTGTTTAACTAAAAAACGAGTTCATAATCCATAATAACTCTTCCTCCAGTGAAAAAGTGCATCTGCTGTTGTCTCTCACATCAAAATCCAGCCACATATTTGTTTAGAGCTGTTTAAACTTTTTTACTGGAGGAAGCGTTATTATGGATTATGGACTCTATGGTATTTTAGTTAAAATCATCTTGATGGATTTGTTTCAGCTTTTGTCTTCTCCAGATGTTAATTGATGGACTGGAGTGCTGTGGATTATTGTGATGTTTTTATCAGCTGTTTGGACTCTCATTCTGACGGCACCCATTCACTGCAGAGCATCCATTGCTGAGACACTGATGCAATGCTACATTTCGACAAACCTGATGAAGAAACAAACTCATCCTAATCTTGAATGGACTGAGGGTGAGCACATTTTCAACTTTCATTTTTGGGTGAACTGTTCCTTGCAGTCAAATGTTCATCAACTAATCAAGGTTTTTTTTTTTTTTTCGTATTAAAAATTAGTAGTTGATCAAACCGTATTGACTATCTGGTTTTGAATACAAGAAAACATTGAGTGAATGGTGCCCAAAGATGGATGCATCATCACTCATATATGTGGCTGTGTTGGTTAATTTTGGTGAGATGATGGTGGATTGCACAACGTGAGATCACTGCACTGGACTTTTTAATGCAAGTGAACATCACAGTTCAGAAGGGCAAGCCTCACTGAAGTGTGAAGACTTCTGAAGGAGAAGCACCACACCGGTTAAGGACAGCGGTGTAAAGACAGGGAGGATGGACTGTTTAAGAAAGCGATGAAAGAGGCCATCTATGTGAAAATGGAACGACCGGATTTTAATCAATTGTCCTTATCAGGTTCCTACAGCGCTGTCCGTTCATACCCGGCGGCTTCGGCCCAATTCACACAGCGATTCACACCACAGTACAGCGACTCCCGCAGGAATTCACGAGTCTGACGTGCGATGAGGGTGAATGTCAGGGCATCTCCACCATCAGTTCACAGCTGAGTGAATGGAGGATCTGAGCAGACAAACATGTCCCAGCTCAGGAAGAATAATCCATACTAGACCTTCTTTGACGTCAACAACTGAAAATCCTCACAGACTGAACTTACTGCACAGTACAAAGAAAATCAACAGATCTAACAGAAACCATAAACGGGTCATATCATAAACTTTTGTCTCTTTTAATTTTTTTCTCCACTCATAATGCTATTTAAAGGCAGGATTCACTATGAATGAATTGCGGCCACTGAAAGTGTGATTTATCTGCATGCATGTCCATGCTGGATTCCCGCTGGATTTGCTTTACATGCCCGGTTATTATTGTTCTCATTTATTTGATCATCATCAGCAGATTTACTACTGCCATGATTACTAGTGCACATCAACTTTTATATATAAATATTTACCTGGGAGGAAAATGTATATTTTAAAGCTCAGAAAAGTCATGCATTTCCAGAGAAACCTTATGTTAACTCACCGTGCCCTCCACTAATATTGGCACCCTTGGTAAATATGAGCAAAGGCGGCTGTGAAAATAAATATGCATTGTTTATCCTTTTGATCTTTCATTCAAATAATTCACAAAATTCTAACCTATCATTGAAGTAAAACAATTGAAAATGGAGAGAAACTCTCATGATGAAATACATGTTTTTCTCTAATGCATGTTGTCCACAATTATTAGCACCCCTAGAAATTATTATGAGTAAACTATCTGTGAAGTATATTCCCAGTCATATTTAAATTTTTTAGCACATCGGGGTGACTAGAGCATGAAACTGTCCAGCCACGACTTCTGTTTCACAGGATTATAAATATGAGGAACACGAGGGCAAAATTCTCTTAATCATCCATCACAAGGAGTAAAACCAAAGAATATAGTTCTGATGTGCAGAACAAGATCGTTGAGCTTCACAAAATAGAAAGTAGCTGCAAAGAAAAGAGCTAAAGCATTGAAAATCCCCATTTCTTCTCTCAAAAACAAACTCCAGCATATTCAGTTGTCAGACACGACTGGATCTTCAAACGGGACGGGCTTCTATGCTCAGATGAAACAAAAAAAATAGCTTTTTGGAAGCAAACCCAGCAGATGGGTTTAGTACAAACAGGGATAAAACGTATCCTATGCCCACGATTAAATATACTGCTGGATCTTTAATATTGTGTGCCTGTTTTACTGCCAGGGGTCCTGGACATCTTGTTCAGATGCATAGCTTCATGGATTCTATCAAATACCAACAGATAAAAAACCTAAACCTGACTGCCTCTGTTAGAAATCTTATAATGGGCCATGATTGGATCTTCCATCAGGACAATAATCCAAAACAAACATGAAAATCAACACAAAAATGGGTCACTGAGCACAAAATGAAGCTTCTGCCATGGCCTGAACCCTATAGAGAAGGAGTGTGGTGAACAGAAGAGAAGAAGCACCAACATGGAGCTGTGCATCTGAAGGATCTGGAGAGATTCTGGATGAAGAAATGCTCTCTGATCTCTTATCAGGTGTTCTCCAAACTCTTCAGGCATTATAGGAGAAAACTCAGAGCTGTTATCTTGGAAAAAGGATGTTGGGTGCCAATATGAACTGGAGAAAGCATTTATTTCACAATGAGATTTTCATCCCATTTTCAATTGTTTTACTTCTACGATAGATTCGAATTTTGTGCATTTTTTGAACGAAAGATCAAAAGGATAAACAATGTAGATTTATTTTCATAGCCGCCTTTGCTCATATTTACCAAGGATGCCAATATTAGTGGAGGGCGCTGCTTTCATTTGCAAAAGTCTTGCGTTTCCCCAAGGAGCTTTGCATTCACTTGCAAAAATATTGTGATGGAAATACCATGATATGGGAAGATAACCATATTTCAAAAGCAACATTTCTTGGGGAAAATTAATTTTGCAACAGAACGCAAATGTTTCGCAAAGTTTCTCAGGGGAATGCAAAACGTTTGCAAAAGAACACTGCAATACAATTTCTCCTACCGTTTTATATATTTTAGTCATCACCATGTCCCTTTAAGCCTGGGGTGGGCAACTCTGGCCCTTGAGATCCTCTTTCCTGCAGAGTTTGGCTCTAACCCTAATCAAACACTCCAAGCTAATCAAGGTCTTCAGAATTACTCGTTAGCTACAGGTTAAATTCTGCGAGAAAGTGGATCTCGAGGGCCAGAACTGCCCACCCCTGCCTTATGCGCTCTGTAAATGAATGATAATGCAAACAAAATCTAACAACATGAATCTGGATAATTAGCTGGAAGAAACTGACGGTTCATGTGACCCAACAACCAGCTACAAAACTGAAACCTATGGCAGGCGGTCTGAGGACTCTGTATTAACATTTAAATGGTGTCTGGCCTCTCCTGAAGCCAGATAAAAGCTGCTGTTCTGAAGCACTCAGGCGGAGATGATAAATTACCTGCAGAAGCCGTGAGGTCTGGGAGCTTGACCCGAAAGATGATGCTGTGCCGAATGGAGCGGCTCCCTTGTAGAGTGCTGTCTCTGAAGCACAGGACCTCCAGCACATCCAGCTGTGAACCCCTGGCATTCACACGCACAAACACACACCAACGTAAGCACACGCGGTCTTTGGAGTGACCTTAAACTTACCATTACAAAGAGACAACGGCTGGAGGAGTCAGTACAGCTGGAGCACTATGACATTCAACACTGAAAGCTGCAAAATGCAGCAGTATTTACAAAATCTTCCACCTGCACCGCATTTCCTAAAAATACATCATATTTTGATGTTTATTTGGTCATGTAAGATTTTTACTGTTTCTTTAACGAAGTATCTTAGGCTCAACAGGGCTGCATTTATATGATCAAAAATACAAAAAAAACAGTGATATTGTGAAGTAATAGAGTTTAAAATAATGTTTTTCTATTTTAATATACTTTAAAATGTAATTGATGAATTTTCAGCATCATGACTCCAGTCTTCAGTGTCACATGATCTTCAGAAATCATTCTAATATGCTGATTTGCTGCTCAAGAAACATTTATTATTATTAATGTTGAAAACAGTCGTGCTGCACAATATTTTTGGAACCTGTGATACTTTTTCCAGATTCTTATATGAATAAAAAGTTCAAAAGAACAACATTTATTCAAAATGGAAATCTTTTGAGACAATATAAGTCTTTACTGTCACTTTTGATCAATTTAGCACATTATTGCTGAATAAAAGTATTAATTTCTTTCAAAAAAATTAAAGAAAAAAAATTATACTGATCCCAAACTTTTGAACAGTAAGTTAGATTTCTATTTTAAATAATTTTTATCCATCACAAAATCCTGAAAAAAGTATCACAGGTTACAAAAAAAATATATTGTGCAGCACAACAGTTTCCAACATTGATAATAAATCAGCATATTAGAATGATTTCTGTCGGATCATGATACACTAAAGACTGGAGTAATGATGCTGAAAAATTCAGCTTTGATCACAGAAATACATTACAGTTTAACACATATAAAAATAGAAAAACATTATTTTAAACTGCAATAATATTTCACAATATTCCTGTTTTTTCTGTATTTTTGCAGCCTTGGTGAGCAGAAGAAACATCCAATCGATCAAAACACATGAAGTGACTAAGTATGAATAACTCCACAGTTTTTGGATATGGTGCTATGGTAATATGCGTTTTGGACTTGTACTACAGTATTCTTTAAGGTACTTTGGAGTCCCATGGTGCATATGAACATAGTAATCATTCAGTACTGTGATCTAATAAAGTACCATGGTACTATTAACATTGGACATATTGTTTTTAGGTGCTGCCATGGTATTTTCATAAAGGTTTCTTGGCTGCATGACTAATGAATAAGCAGCATCATGGTACTGTATGGGATTTGAGTGTACACTTATCAAACTGTAATTTAACACCAGTGGGATGTGTGTAGGAAAAGCTCATCGCAGACGTGCCATTGTTTTGCGAGGAGGATGAGAAGGTTTCTGAGAGGCCAGCCTGGATGTTGAGGAAGCGTGCAGGGGTCATACACGCCCACAGTAATCTGCCAAACAAATCAGGACACATGCCACATTATACCCACATACTGTGAAGAATTACAGGTAAAGAATATTCTGGGTTCATCATCAAGCACCACAGAACACAAATTCGACTCATTTCACCCAGAGTCTCATTATTAAATATGGCAATCTACAGCATGCCACAAATGTTGTTGACAGAACTGAAGTTATGGAATAACCTTCAATATTCCATTAATAATAATAATGCAGCTTTATACTGGAAATTAGGGATGCACCGAAATGAAAATTCTTGGCTGAAGCCGAACAAAATGAAACACAGGGCCGAATACGTTTTTTTGTGCGTTTTTTTACCCATGCAGGCCTATTTTGCCATTTTTTTCACCATTGCATAAATTAAATAGCCAACATGTGCTTTTCACTGTTTTGTCCTCCTTTTCAAATAAAAAAAAATATTACAAAACAACAACATTCTAGCAGACATTATACCAACAAAGCACAATTTAACTTAAAATTAATAAGTTAGTAAAATAATATTTTTTGGCCATTTTTGAGACCCCTTCTTGAATCAGTTATGTATTTTTTACTGTAAAAATAAGATACTTCTTTTAAAGCATTAGAAAATATTACAGTTCCCAGTCTGAACACTATGTGTGAGTGTTATAATAAATGTATTAATAGAGCGGTTGTAATTATTATTATCATTATTAGTCTTACTTTTTTATTTGAGTTTACAGAACAACAGTAAAATTACAATACTATCATTTATGAATGTCGATGGAGCTTTTATTTTGGCGGAAACCAGCAGGAAGTCCTCAGTACTTCTTTTTCTTGACAGCAGCAGATTTATAAATGATTCTCGTTATGAATTTGGGAAGATGTTTGTCGCATGTATCACATGCTTTTAAAAAATTAATAAAAATGTTTCTGAGCAACTGACGAGTAACACTGTTTCAGTGCAGATTTTCCTCGCGGTTTCGACTCTGAACCCAGGCTAACTTATAATGATTTTTGCATCTTTCTCAAACACTTTTAAAGGCTTCCACACTGCAGACATGTTTGCTGCATTAGTGCGCGCCTCTATTTGATCGTGTCACGCCATTGTTCGGTACAATTTACTCAGTTTTTTCACTTATTCGGTTGCCGAACATTCGGTGCATCCTACCGGACATTACCTTCTTTAGGTCTGGGAAGAAGGAGTGCAAGTCTTTTAGAGGAGCGACTTCAACACTTTCTTCTGTGTACTTGAGCAGAAAATGTGGGACTGCCGTCGTTCCACTTGAGACGCAGAGATCATCATACGCCGTTTGCAAGCTTAATATCTGTGAAACAGTGAATCAGTCCACCTCATTAACTCATGAAAGTTCATGCTTGGTTGGAAAATATTCAGGCAAGAACTGAAATGTACTCTCTAACATGTACAGTGGCTCCAAAATCTGGTGTAAAGAAGGATAGTGTGCCATTTAGAGCAATAAGTCAATTGAATCGAGGTGGATTTTGAATTTAGTGAATGCATTGGAAATGCATATACTGTAACTGAATTTGAAGGGTAATAAAATAACACATCTTCACTTACTAATGACATACAGTACCTTAAATATAAAGAGGAACATTTCCAAATACGCTTTAGTGACACTGACACTGTATATGGCACGTCACTCATCTTAGAGCATGTATTATGCATTCAAATAATTAACACTGAATTAAAAATTCTAATCAGCACATGCTTTCCATAACGCACTGACTAACGGCTCATTATCCTTCACACAAATCATCCTCGTCAGAAGTGAGTTATCAGCTCTTCTCCGCACCTGTTTGGCAGAGAAGCTGCGCTCTAATGACACCGGCTCCTGCTCCAGCCGGACCCCCTCCAGAAAGCAAAGGGCAGGAAAGCAGAACCAATAATAGAAATGATATTTCTTCAGATCCTGGATAAACAAAAGGACCAGTCAGAAACAATGGCTGAAAGGGCATTCATTTATAAGGACATTCTCTAAAACGCTGGCATACAAACCGCAAATGTCAAGAGGATGAATTTGTTTAATATTGAGGAGTCTTCCAGCGCAGCGCCTGACTGAATAGCGCTCCAAATCTGTGAAGAAGACAACATCACCAGTATTAATTATATGGACATGTCCAGAAATGGTTTCTGATATAGTTTATGCAAATGCAATAGTGTACACATTACGCATTTCAAACTGTGAAACACATTCTGGGACAAAATCACTAAACACTTTTTTATTTTAGTACAAAATCCTAGCATTTCAACTTCCGCCACACAATGTCGTTCCTTAGAAACGGTTGTGGTTGCAACAAAGTGGTTGCCGAGCAACACACAGACGCTGAAACAAAGGTGTATGTTTGTAGAGTAATTTACAACAGCTTCGAACGTGGCTCAGCCAATCAGAATCAAGCACCGGAACTCTCCGTTTTAATCTTAATTAATGGATTAGTTTCAGCTTTTGTCTTCTCCAGATGTTAACTGATGGACTGGAGTGCTGTGGATTATTGTGATGTTTTTATCAGCTGTTTGGACTCTCATTCTGACGGCACCCATTCACTTGCAGAGCATCCATTGCTGAGACAGTGATGCAGTGCTACATTTCTACAAATCTTGGACAGCCTGAGGGTTATCACATTTTCATAAAAGTTACATTTTTGCGTGAACTATTCTTAAAACTAAAATAGTAAAAAAAATTTTCAAAATTTAATCTTTAACTAATTAAAAAAAGTGTGTAATGTTGGATACTTAGGAGAGCCTATTAGATTCCAACGTTGGATAATAAAATTTAAACCTCATGCACTATACAAACTATAAATTATACTATGAGAACATATATGCAATATAGTATACTTAATAGTATGTCTTCTGGGACACAAATACCACCATTATTTTCAGTGCAAATACACTGGGTTTATTTATGTCTGGGCCTTATATGCAAATGTCTGCTGTTTGGCCACGGCGATTATCATTGTGTTATTACCATTTGCAGAAAGCAGGCAGTCAACGAAACTGTATTAAGAAGATTAAGAATGGCAGCAGTAATTTATCAAATGATGGAGAAGGATGCTCAGCATCCAGATACGCAGTGAAAGAAAGCACATAATTCATTCAGAGGATCTCTGCAGGCAGCAAGAGCAAATAAAATACGCTAGTATCAACAGGCACAATTAATGAAGAGTGATTAAAAGCGCTGCACCTCATTGGCTGCTTTATCCAGGAGAGCTCTCTTGTCGGTGGTTTTGAAGGCTTCTAGTGTGTTGGTGTTGTACAGAGTCCCAGAGGCTGCACTGCAGCGAGCCGGTGTGGCTCCATCACTGAAACATACACTATATCATTTGCATTCACTGATGCACTGTATTATTTGTATTGTGTTTTAACATCATAATGTAACCAGCATTGTATACGATTAGATTTTGCACCAACCAGGATCAGCTAACCATAACAGCTTAACACATTACAGCTCAAGAGTAAAACCGGCTTATTGTTTTATACTGTATGCAACATGATAAAAGAAATCAATGTCAATATATCGGTCAGCGGTAAATGAGAGTGTCTAAAGCAAAGGAAAATAATGTTTAAGAACACGTACTCTTTGTATTCATTTTGGTTATGGTTTTGAAAAACGTTTACACTACTAGTTGTTTAAATGTTTAAATTCAACTCTCAGATTATTTTCTAAACAAATATCATGTTTTTCGGGGGGTTTGTACCATATGCATTAACCAATGTTGACAGATGTTAACATTAATTTAATGTTCATGTTAACTAATGTGGTAAACTACTAGAGAAATGGAGAAGAAATGGAACCTTGTTTTAAATTAAATTCACCTATATAGTGATTCTGTGTGGCCAGCCGTCATAAATGTAAAATTAATTCTACTGAAACGATTCTTGAGGATTTAACTGGCAAGAAAAAAAATAATAATTTCACAAGTAACAGACGTGATATTGGGGCCATTATCCAAGGCTTTCAGAATAACCAGCTGCATTACATGCTCTTAATACAGAAAACGTACACATCAAATGCGCTGAACTCCAGTGTCAGGCGTGTCGGCAAGCCAACAGGATCACCTGCGATTTAGAACAAAACACTTGCATTATATTACAGCTTAAACGTGGCTCAAGTATTCTCGTTCAGCTCTGGAGTTATTAAATGAATAATTGGCATCTAGAACTAAACACTTCTGCATGATGCACCCGTGCTGATGGTGTAAGCAGACAGAAGAGAAGAGAAAATACCACACATAAATATATATATATAGTAGTCATATAACATCATATAACATTTGAAGTGGATCAAAACCTTTCATCAGAGTTGTCCTAAAACCTAAATGCGTTCTTATCATAGGACAACTTTGATTAACTTTTTTGATCCACTTCAAATGTTGACTACTGTAATATATATATATATATCCATACAGAAATGAAAATTGATCATTGAAATCAAATTTCACATTATTTGGGAAAATGCCTTAACTTTTGTCTAATCAAAGAATGAATGAAGACATACAGTAGATCTTAAAACTTGAATTACAACATGCAAGTTCAACCACAGCACAATATAATTAAATAAAGACACACAGTGAGACTGAATATACCATCTGATATTACAAAAAACAAACGTGCTTTATTTTGTCTCTAATCATCGACTATAAAGTGACTTTCATTTTCAGGATCTAAGCAATCTGTTCTGACAGAAGCCGAGCACTTAAGAGGCCACTGCTGTCACATCTCTTTCATTATTACATTCTCCAAGCTCACCGTTATAGTAGTAACCTTTGATGATTTTGGGGCTCTCGTCTAAGCGGAAGTCGTTGAGCTTCTTCTGTGTGAGCTGATGCCAGAATCCGGCCTCCAGGGCACTGCAGAAGGGGGCGAACTGCAGCTTTAGGGCAGGACTCGACTCGGCTTCCATCAGGACCGATGCTTTGGATTCCTTACGACACAGAAAACAAGAGAAACCATGCCCAGAGAGACTATATGAGACATGTTTATTCAGCCACTGAGTATTTTTATTGAACCTTTAACATCATAAAGGTGCTATAAATGCAAATATTTTGCCTTGAAAAAAATTTAACAACAATAATAATAATTATTTAATGTTTCAATTTTTCAAAACAAGATTATAATTTAAAGTGACAGCCAGCTAGCCAAGAGATATTTTCATCTTTGATAAATCAAAATAAAATAACAAAATAAGTAAAATATTTTTAAACAAGTAAAATGTACTCTTAAAGATATATTCCTCAATGCTGATAGCCTGATACAATGTTCTTATAATAACGCATACATTTCTTGTTCGATTAGGTTTGTGGAAGTTGGTTAGAGTTCCCTTTTCTCACTCCAACAAGCTTGGATGTCAACATTAATAAGAAACTAATATTGCTGACAAAACATCTGTACAACTAATTACGTCTTGTCAACGTAATTAAAGTAAAAACCTGCGCTGTTTAGTATTGTGATTTTAGTAATACTGCTTCGGTAAAAGCACCGAGTCTCTGTCACTTGTTTTTTAAACACACTGCAGTCAGAAGCAGCACGGTGGAAATGTAATTTGTGTCAAATACAGTCCTGTAAATGCCAAACAGAGAGTCAGAGCAACAATAAACACATATGACAGAAACATCACTTACCAGACGAGCGCTTCCTGGTTGAGGTCATGTGACCACTGTCAGCGTGCACGCATGCGCAGTCGGTTTGTTTTGGTTTCGTAGCAGAGCTAACGCTTCACAAATTACTTTAAAATTAATTTAATAAGAAACAGGTACCGACAGAATGGAAGCCAGCCGTGGTGGCGTTTTCGCTGGTGCTACAACTGGTTAAAGCTTAATATTTACTATTTTGACATGTTAAAAAACGCTTTCTAATCTTAGTCGGTGTTAGCATACACGCTTTTCTGCTAAATGCTTTGAAGCATCATATCATCCCGCTGAGGAAATGTTGTCAAATAACGTTAACCAGTCGCTTAAACGGTTTAGATGGGCGTCAGATCCTCTTGTGCTGCGTTGGTGTCCAAAGAAAAAGCCTTAGGGTGCCAAAACCATCGAATAAAAGACAAAAACCCAAAACAAAAGGAAAACACAAACTAATAGACAAGAGAATACTGACAAAAACTTATAAACGCTGTTCCTTTTCATTGTAACTGTGTTAGATGAATCAGTTCATGTGTCGGGTTCCGTGCAAAGCAAGAAGGGCGATAGTGAACTAGCCAAAAAATCCAGACTGATATATACTGTTACAGCATGACACCTTTACAACAGCTCTAACTGAGCTCCTGAGTCGGTCGAGATGAGCAGCATTCCTTCAGCTGGGACGTCCTGCATGCACAATCAAGGTCTTTTATCAAGCCTCACAAAATAGGCTATGCATGCAAATCTATCCTTTTAAATCGTGCTTAGAGTAATGCATTTGCAATGGAAGACTATCAGTCAGGCATCACAAATAAACAATAAAAATATGAAACTGTAGGTGTGTCAAAGTGTATGCATAACTTATAAACACTTAACATGTTACCATGCAAACCATGCTATGTCTAATTGTTCAGCTCTAAATATTGCGTCATGCTCGTGATAACAAACCTGGTAACTATCCCATGATATCTGCACAATTATACCAGAAAGGCACGTGATGTATCCGGTAAAGCAACAGGCATTGCATTAATAATGCATAAACACAAGTTCATCTACCTAAAGTAGTCACTTAAAAATGACAATTTTGATAACTTTACAGATCAAATAACACATTTGACTGAATGCATGTACATGCTTCGGTAAAAATGTCTGATTTTTCTAATTTTGGTACATTTTCCCCTTTGGCTTCTAATGCATGTGCCTTATTGTATAACACTGTTCAACATTTTGTTTTCACTAACTTTTAATCAAAATGATCAGTATGCCACAAATACGGCTCAAGCTTTTAGAGAGGGTTTCTGTGGGTCTAAAAAGGTCTTAAAAAGTCAGAATTCATCCTTCTGCAGTTTGAGGCCTTTAAAATATTCTAAATCAGAGCAGAAATTCATACTTTTAAATTCTTATATTCAAGTTATGGCACAAAATGTTGCAAAAAATAAATAAAATAAAATATATAAATAAAAAATCTTCCTCAGCATTTTTGTTTTCCAATGCAAACATCCTTAAATCGAAAATACATTTACAAAAGTAAAATGATGTTTTAAAAATTGAAAAATTTGGGAAAAAATGAAAACATCACTTTTTTACAGAGTGTTCAGAAGATATTTCCATATAGAGCTATTCAAGCCTTAAACTATTTATTTATCTATCTATGTATGTATTTATTTATTTATTTGTTTGTATGCAAAAAAAATGAATCAAAACTCTTACATTTACCACCTGCAGAAACCCTGTTAGAGTAATAAATGAAGAGTATTTAACATCAAACCCATGTTAAAGTTGTCATGTAAACCAGTGGTTTTCAAAATGTGAGTCATCTTTACTTACATGTTAATTTGACACTGAATAGGTTCAGTTGATAGGAATTGAATTTATATTAAATAGTTCATCCAGGAGCTCCATGTATACAGACGATTTGTGCATAGTATGCATACACCACTGCTTTCTTTTTAAAACTTCAAGGCCATTCTGAACATGCTTGATTATCATACACCCAGAATTTCAATGTTCAACTGAAGCTGTTTGCATGTAGCATCTTCCAGCTCTCTGCGGACATTGTGCATTCGCTTGTAACCAAACTCATATTTGTGTTCAGTTGATAGGAATTACATTTACATTAAATAGTTCCTCATTTCCCATTTACTAGACTTTCTACGGGTCCATCACAAAGACAGCACTGAATGCAGCATCGGAAATGATGAAATTACAGGACATTCGCCAAAGCACGCATCTCAGTTTATTTGAAGAAAACCATCTAATTGAGTCTGGTTATAGCAAGAATGTCACTTTTGTTCCAGCAATCACATGGTTTCGTAGAAAGTGACAGGCACTAATTGAGAGCTAACAATGCAAACTGTTAGAAGAAAACGAGAATTGAACGGGACTAAGCACTGCACTGCATTAGTATTATATATATTATAATTGCTTTCCCACAACTTGAAGTCTTTATAGTCCATTTCATCGTCCCCTCATCGCTGCACAGGCATGTAAAATACAGTATGTGTGGAATGCATACAAGCATTCTGCCGTATGTTGTTTAATGCATGTATTGTATATGACATAGAGGCGGTATGAAACGACATATTTAATCTTCACGTGACCTCAGTGTTACATTGTTCATCAACCAGAGATGTCCAGTTAATGGCTGCGTCCGAAAGCCATACAGAGGTAGGAAGGCAACAAGGCACATCCGAATCCAATGATCGTGTCACTTTCTGGTTTTTGATGAATCCTTCACTGCCTATAATATCCTATAATAAAAAACTAAGCATATGCAAGTTATGGTTGGTGCCCATTTTGTGTGTTTTTGACCAACTTTTTCCACTTTTGATGTTATTTCAAGCAAGTAATTAAATATTTGCTTAGTTATCACCAAAGCTTTCTTTATTATATTGTAGATTACTCCACCTTCATGCTGCCTCAGAAATCTGTCTAAAGTCATTTCTGTGAAGTGCCTTCAAATGCAAACACTGCCTGCAAAGTTATTGCCCGATAAGCAACGAACCAGCTGCTTAAGCTTTCAGACGCAGCCATTATGTCTAAAATGTTTTAAAGATGTAATTATGTGTTTTAATGTTTTAACGAGTTGCATTAGATGTTACAGTTTATATCAGTTTTATTCAAATCATCATTTTTATTGTTAAAAACAAAGATCAGGTGAAATGCATTGCATTGCAAATCATCCAGGAGCTCCATGTATACAGACAATTTGTGCATAGTATGCATACACCACTGCTTTCTTTTTAAAACCTCAAGGCCATTCTGAAGATGCTTGATTATCATACACCCAGAATTTCGATGTTCAACTGAAGCTGTTTGCATGTGGGATTTTCCAGCTCTTTGCGGACAGTTTTGACCAAACTAATATTTGATTAAACCGCCTGTAAAATATATATGCACCACACCTGCTATTTAAACATAATCGATACCAGAGGGCATTAAACACACCAAACCAAAGCTGTACTGACTGTACATCACCCTCAATAGCAAAGCTTCACGAATTATCATTTTAGTGTTGTTTAATTTAAAAGTAAGTTGCTACTATACCAAGATTACATCAGATCTACTGAAGCAGCAGCATAAGTGCTCAGTTTAAAAACACTCTGAATAAGTTCATCATATAATCTGATGCAGATTGCAGACGTGTCAAACTGACATTCAGCAATAAATAATAAAACTAACTAAATAAAAAAGGCAAAAAATAACACCAGCATGGCAGATGCACAGAACTGCAAACGTGTCACAAGAAACGCTTCAGAAAACACACTAATAGAGCAGGTGTGCTAACAGTTTTTCACCTCTCCTGAACTTTATCTATCGATATGAAATATCTTTTTGAACACCCTTTTGAAGTTCTCATTGCACAGCGGGTAAATGAAGGGATTCAAGGTGGAGTTGATGTACCCTAGCCAAATTGTGAACATGTGAAGGTCATGATGCACACAGGTCTCACACAAGGCCGTGACCATGAAGGTGATGAAGTACGGGATCCAGCACACCATAAAGACACTAATGATGAAGCCAAGCTGCCTGGCGGCTTTCCGCTCCTTCCGGATGCGCATGCTATGGATGCTCTGCTTGGACTGTTCGCAGAGCTTCTGCCACGTTTGTTTGGCGGGGAGCGTGTTGGTGGCATCCAGCGGAGGGCTGTTCTCAGCCCAGGGCGACGGCGGATCGCTGTGATTGCTGAGAACCGTGGCGTAATTGTGAATATCCACTGTCGGTGCGCTCTCACACATGTTGCCAACAGAGTTGGGCACTAACACGTTACAGTCGTTCGCATTCATGAACGGTTTGGGCTGAGCGTTGTTCTCGGACTGCAGGAAGGCGAGAGATAATGGTGGGCCTTCTGCGACGGTTTCCCCGTCGTCGCTCTGAAACGAAACCTCGTTGGGGTCTTGCACGCTCTTTCTCCTGCGTTTCGAAAGACTAAACATTGCTTTGGCCTTGTAACAACTCTTCCTCTTTGTCTCGGAGGTAGCATCCTCGTTATTGTCCCTCGAGCTGTAAGGCTGCTCCAAACTGTACTGATCCAGCAGGCCCTCGTTTTGAGAGAACACCTGCGAAGCCAGACTCTGTCTCTCCGAGGCTTTGGTTATCTGCAGCTGCATCCCGTTATGCAACGTGTCGTCTGCTTCGGTTTTCACCATCGGACCGGCAAAGTTCTCCCACTCTCTGTAATGATCGCGGACTGCGATGAAAATCTGCGAGTAGAACAGAAGCATGAGGAAGGAGGGAATGTAGAAGTTGAGGATGGCTGTCAGGACTTTGAACCAGGTCACGAAGCGGAAATCCGTGTCGCATTGGTTCTCCAGCTCTGGCTTTCTGTCGACTCGAGCAATCATCCGCCAGCCCAGGATGGGAATGATCCAGGTCATGGAGAGCAGCCACGCGCTACAAATCAGCAGCGTCGCTCTTCCTCGTGTCCGATACTTTAGGTACTGTAAGGGGTGGCGTACGGAGCGGTACCTGTCCAAGCAAAGGATGAACAAGCTGAAAATGGAGGCCGTGCTCGCCACATAGTCCATGACCAGCCAGAACTGGCAAATAACGCGACCCAGTTTCCACTCGTCCTCAAGAAGGTAGACCAGATTCAAGGGCATGACCGTCGCCCCCACAATGAGGTCCGCTATCGAGAGGCTGACGATGTACAGGTTCCCTACCGTGTGTAAAGTCCGTTCCTTTCTCACGGCAAAAAGCACCAGCAGGTTCATGATGACCGTCAGAAGGGACAGCGTGCCGAGCAGAATCCCCAGCACCGCATTGTTCATGTGATGGTGGAAGGGAGCGGACGCATCCGAAAGACTCGTGACGTTGGGTTCGGGGTGTTCTTGAAGAATTCTTTTCCCGTTTGTCGCGGTGAGTATCGTAGTCGTCTCCATTGGGCACGTGTCACATGATGTCAAAGTTGTGAGAAAGCACAAAGTGACTTTGGGTTTTCATATTCATATCCACATAATGGAGTTTCTGAAAAACAAAACCAGAGAGAATGCATCACGTTGAGTTCGTGTCGTGCGCTTATTGATGTGTGACTCACTGCGCTGAATGAATGGAGACATCCATATTTCCGATGCACTCAGTCCACATGTCTGAAATGGCATGCTCTTACGACAACACAGACGTAA